AGACGCTTAAAAAAGTGAGATGTGAGTTAATGCGAGTGAAGGAATTTGTTCCACCTCGCGCTTTGTGCGCTCTGTGCCTTTCCGATGTAAATTTAAAAGCCATGGTTGCAATATAAAGGAGCATGAAGTGATGTGAGGGCAGAGTTTGCCTTACAGGTCAGTGGATGATAATGATGTATCGTTAGAAGTGATGGAGTGTGGGGAAATAAAAAAAGAAGAAGAGCGAGATAAATCAATGTTCAGCCGGCGAGGGTTGTAATAAAATATATCACATAAGATTTTTAGCTTCAGACCAGAGCTGAAAATGCATTTTCAAAGATAATGAATAAACTGTGAGTAAAAAAGCTGACAAACAGTGTGGAAACTAAGAAATAATCAAGCTGCAAATAACAATTTTAACAGAAAGTGTCCAAAAAGAGTTTAGATGTCATTCACCCTCCTCCGAGTCTGTTTTCGAAACTGAGAGAAAGAAGTAACGGGGGTAAAAGAGGCGACGTTCACGGTCTCACGCCTTTAATTAATACAGGACCATATGGTGGAGGTTAGTCGATTCATCTCCCGGTAAAGGCTGCAGTCTCATGCTCTAGCCTACTGTGTTAATTTCAGAAGTAAAGCCAGTGAGAGGCAATGCCAGTTTGCTGTCTGCACTGGGCCTGATGCCATGTGAGTCACTGATTCATATCAACTGTTGATGATGAAAGAAGAGAGAGTCCATGAAGTGAGAATGAATGGATGAACGAGATTAATATAAGTAATCATAATACTCATACTATTTTAAAACCGCTCCTATGGGGTAACTGCTGCAAAATCTAAATAAATTCGTGTTGTCAGGTTCAATTGCCGTTAGAAATATTTTTGCATTATTATTATTATTATTATTATTATTATTATTATTATTATTATTATTATTATTACAGTTGCCCACATATATCTTTTCAAATTTGACTTAATGAATGAGGCAGTTTAAAGATCATACTAAGGTGATGTTCGTCTTAAATGAGCAACTTCCGATTTAAAACAAAAATGCTTTTCCTCTCTAACTTTAAAGGAAAAGGCACTCTTCGAAATTTGAAGCGTCCTGAACAAAATACAGACAACAAAAGAAAAAAATGCTCAAGTCGTTAATTCAAAGCTGAAATTGCAGTTAAATTTTCACACAATAAAACAAAATTAATAACAATAAATTAAAAAAAAAAATGTGTGTAACTTCAGAGACTGTGGAGCAGCACGACAGACTGAAATATTGGACGAACCTCTCATTAAATTTCACTGATTAGGTAACACCGATCCGCACGCAATAACCTTACACCTTACAGCGTGACCCCCACTATTTCATTTTGCGGCGGGGATATAGAGGAGGGATGCGAAGAACGGTTGTGCAGGTACACAGCATGTAAAACTTAACCTCCAATATCTGCATCTTTTGAATTAAAGGGTGAAAAAAAGAGAAAGAAAAAAACTCGCAGATGATGTAGAGCAGGTGAAGAGAAGAACTGAGGAAAATGGTTAACAGCATGACTGGATGCAAATTTCCCCCGACTTGAATTATCATAAGCAAACATTGTGAGCCTGGACTAATAAAATCCCATCTGTGTAACTTCATATCGAGGTAGTATGAGGGCTGCGATAATGAATTTTGTAATATCCCACCGACAGACATCTCAATCAGACTCTAATCCCATGATTTTACTACGGAATCACTCCACTCCCAACTGCACCAGGCAGCACCAAAACACAGAATCCGGCTCGAGCAAAACACATGAAGGGTTTTCCACACCGTGCAAAAATAAGAAAAAAACACATAACGTAAAATCACGATGAGTTTTGAACTGTAATTTATCAGAATTAAGTAAAAAGATACCTTCAAAACTAAGAGATTATTCACTTGATTATTGCGATATATTCCTTGTTTCGTGCACACCGGAAGTTAAACTCAAAATTCTTTCAAAAATGGCACATTCCACCTAAAAAAAACTTATAAAATAAAAATTAAAAAATCTCATCAAGATCCACATTTTGCAATAGTGTCATCATCATGCACCGCCGCTGAAGTCCCGCCATGCTCTTATATATTTTTGCTTTTATGTTTGTGCCATTATCATCATTTGCCATTCACTCAAAAATAAGAGTTTTCAAAAGGAATTGTTTTTCTTTTTCTTTCTTGTTACAATCAAAGGATTGCCCCTTGACCACATCAAAGTCCTCACGTAGGCTCCCGAATTATTGACTGCACAGTTAGAGTTTGATGATAATAAACGACTCAGAGGACTTTTTCGCAGTCTCAAATTGTGGCCAATTGTGGCTTTTTTGTTTCTTTTTACAGAAGCTGTTTCTTTGAATTATCAGAATGGACTCCCATTGCCGTAAACTGGTCACCACCTGCGCACAAATAGGTGAGTAACAATTTCAAATTTTCTCATTCTAATAGCAATAAAAAGCTTTTGCAAAAATGTGTATTAGTTTACACAGGTTGATACAATTTTTCACTTCACCTAAATTAAAAGAAAATCATTTAGTAACATAACGAAAAACAGTGCGTTGCTTTCCAAATCTTAAGAAAATGCTTTACAAACCTAGTAGCAATATGAAAAAGGTGAATATTTTTTATATTTGTCAACGTTTAGATATCTTAAATGTCCCCAAAATCTCAAAACGTAAAACACAATAATATACAATTATTAATGCACTTTTTTGGAAGTACCACAGATTATATTGATACTTACATGTCAATATTAACAAACAGATATTTACATGTTAGGCAACAGGTTTAACAGCGAGCCCAACTTCTTCGTTTGTGCCGTTTCTGATCAGAAGACCAGATTAATTTTTCAGAGAAATATCATTGATTTCCTACATTTTATCTTCACGGCTTCTCCCATATCTGTTTATTCGTGTTTTAAAAGTTGCTTTGTGCGCATATGTGGTATTTTGATGTTTTCTTTTATTTCATTATATTGATGTAGCCTTTTTTATATGCCTGTATTTCGGCCCTTTTACTCCTCAATATGGAGAAGTTGTGAGACAGCCGAGTTGGTTCGCTATGTTAGAGGGACACCTGGTGGTCGAATGCGGATCAGCACGGCACCAGAGCAGAAAAAGGAGAGCACAGACAACTCTGATCATCCGGGATTTGAAAAGGATGGCCGCTTCGCATAGCAAAGTTAATTAGTTAATTTAAAAATATGCTAATGTATGACAAATTACACCGTATTGTTAATTTTACTTTTAATGACATTTAACACAGGAAGGCAGTTTTCACAGATTTTTTTAATCGTCAGTTCTCCTGTAATATGCTGAGAGCCTTTCATATAAATGGTAGTCTCCAAAATCCCTTAAAACCGATATCAGACTAAATTAAAGCTGCAATCCTGAACGACAAAAGGATGGGATTATTAATTATTCTCTCATGTGACACGGAAATTACATCAGGTCTTGTTAGTGTCTTTGACGAATAACCAATAAGTCTTATTGTGTTTCATTTAGTCGACATTGCTGGGTATGTGTGACGGTCGCGTATTGTAGCTTCTTAGCTGCTCGTCGTGAACCACCACTGATTGAGACTAATAAGATAAGTAAAATCAAAATGGGTGATCGAGAGAGATGCCGGCAAATATAGACACACCAGCGTCAACTGTTTTGCTATAATATATGCAGTGCTTGTTGGATTGACTCCGGGGAAAACTACATGTATAATGAAAGCCAATTCGTGAGGAGGAATATCCTAATGGAGGAATCTGATGTCTGCTTAATCCTATGTAAAAAGCCTTGTCGTCTCCCCTTATATTGACTGAATTGCTAATTAATGGCCCTCTATGGTGGAGGCCTATTGCACGCAGTAATCCGCAGAAGAGAGATAAAGCATTCAGAAGGTAGAAATGAAGAGGAAACCGATAATCCACTTCAAGTTTAGTATTACAATGCGCCTGGAAGAAAAAAGGAGCAACAGACCGTCCGTTATTTAACGGAAAATAAGGCACTAAATAATATTTTATTTGCTATTTTTTAACAATATAAAGGTAATACATATTATTATAAATATTAATATTATTATTGTTGTTGTTGATCTACATGAAATTTGGCTTACTGGTTTTTACCCTTTATAAAGTTTTGTTATTGCAATGATAAATAAAACCATCATTACAATTTAATGTTAATGGATTGTAATTGAATTATGATCAAGGTTTTATTGCTCTACATTAGAGGCTGTTCGTGTGAGTGTGTGTCTGAGTGTATGCGAGTGTGTGTTGCATGCAGTCTACGGTCTGCTGGTATTTATATATGAGGGGCTTTCACGGGATTAGCCCAATAACTTCTTAACAGCGCCAAGTCCCAAATGTGCTGGCTGAATGGGCTTTAGTCTGGCCACGTGGAGGGTGGAAGTGTGATTTTGATGATGATGATGATCTTGATGATGATTATGATGAAATGTGACTAGAGTGTCTCTATATTTAGATGTATGTTTTCACTTGCACTCCTGATCGCACTAACTGGCGCGGATGTTGCCTATCTCTTTATGGTCGCTCCATCACTTCAGCCACCTGTTTGTTACCCAGCTGACGTTTTTCCACCCGCCTATGAAAATCAAAGTCGCATTTGTTTGATTAGACATGTTTGCTTTGCCTTAATGCGGCACAATCTTTTAGGAATTAGATCTTTAAAAAATGTCTCGCATATCAGCTCAAACTCTTTAAAAGTGCTCCATTAGAAATAATTAGTCAAATTAAGAGTCTTATTAGGTTTTCTGCCAAAAAGAACACTTCAGGGGGGTTCGCTGACAACGGCTATGGACTCCAAACACAAAGTGAGGAGAGATCCAGTTAAGCACCCAGATAAAGTAATCTGTCGTCAACAAACTGAGACTGCGTGGTACAAAACTCCAGTCAGTTGATTTAATGAATATGTGAACCTCAAGTCTGGGAAGGTCAAGAGAGTCGCCTCATTTGAAAACTAGTATGACTGAAAATGCTTTTCCAGGATGGATGTGGGATGGATACGGGATTCAGGGAATAGCAAACCAGTTAAAGTCAGCTTGGTCACGTTTTTGGACCGTGATGTAAATGCACAATAAAACTGAAGGCGCAAAATGCAGACATTCAGTATGTTGCCGGTTACCTTTATGTAATTTGAGCACTAGTACTGAGTTAAAACATGCTACTTAAAATTAAGCATTTTCGTGTCCATATGAAAGCACAATATGCACATGTGCTCTTTTTTAAGGTAATGCGCGCGCCTGGCAATTAGCATCAGTTGACAAATGCTCACAGACAATTTGGGGTCAAGCTGGCACAGTCCTTAGTTACATTTGTTGTTTGTTCTTTCACGGGTTCTTTGTGGTCCAGGAGGTGTTTGTGTTTGATATTCACTGCGCTTTTTTTTCTTTTTTCTTTTTGTGGTTTCAAAACAATCCGCGCAGTGGCTGGCTTTATTCACACGGAGTCCCAGAGTAAACTGCACTGACAGAGCCTACCAGCCTGAAGCTCAACTTGGGTATCAATAGAACTACATCGTTTTACTGGGCCACTGGACCCATCTCATAAAATGAGACCAAACTGTGTTATTTTCATTTTTATTTGGTCTCGGGCTGCTGCGCAACGGCGTTTTGGAGCGCCGCGGGTACACCGTGCGTCCCATCTCTCTTTACATGCTTTTATTTGGAAGAGAGAAATAAGCGCCAGCGCCGGCATAAACACACTGGCAGACATATCTTGTTTCTGCAAGCTCTGGTTGGTTGGGCACACCGTCATATTCACATGGATGTGCCTGTCAGAGAAAATATGGGCGGGCGCAACATGGTGACGTGGAGGTCTGGAGAGAGGCGCAGTTGGATAGACAGTGCTCAGGCAACAGCTGAAATGAACAGTGAGTGGTGTAGTGTGTGTATGCCTCTGGATCTAATATCACCTACCTGTCCTTGTCACTCTGATAGTCAGGCGAGGTAGCCGCTGTTTTTCACCGATGCTATGGCAAAACTCAATGGCCTATTTTAAAGCGTTTTCCAATTTAAACACAAAGAAGGCTTTATCTCAACCGCAAGAGGATCCGCGAGGTTGTGCGTTTTTTGGAGAGCTGAGCACATTCCGCAGTCGGACTTTCCGCCTACCCTTCCAGTACTAAAGGTTGTGCGATCTTTTACCGATGAACTCTATGAGGGATCCATTAAACATAGACCATCATCACCTAACAGGGAATAAACTTGCCTCCACACACCACACGGCTCTGGCGATGGCCTCTAGTTTGCAGCCACTGCAGCGGTCTGTGGACTCTAAACACCGGTTAGAAGTGCACACTGTGTCGGACACATCAAGTCCGGAGTCTGTCGGTAAGAACCGCCCGGAGTGCAGATGTTCTCTGCAAGACGCCGCAGATGTCATCTTGATTTCAAACAATAGATGGCTCTCATCAGTCAAAGTAAAGGGAGCTTTACATGCATGCAAATAGGCGATTACAGCTGTCATTTACTAAAAGATCATCTGTCTGTGTGCGGCGCTGAGTGAAAAAGTTTCAGTTATGTAAATGAAAACAGCTTGTGTTGTCAATTAAAATTAGCCCGACTTTTTCTGATATTCTCAGTAATTGCGTTAAATAAAAAAGGTTAACTAAAACCCTAGAAGTCAACGGAAATTCAGAACCCAAAACATGAAGTAAACAAAAGATTTATTTTTATAAATCCTTTAAGTGATACTGTTCCCACGGGAGCCTCGGATCGTTGTTTTTTTTCTCCTCGCATTGTGCAGGCCATAATCTGGGTGATGACTTAAGTACTTCATTCCCTCTTCACAGAAAAGGAGAAGATACAAAATAAAAATGAAGACTCTTCAGATGACCCTTCCAAAAAGAAGCGACAGCGGCGGCAGAGGACTCACTTCACCAGCCAGCAGCTGCAGGAGCTGGAGGCCACTTTCCAGCGGAATCGCTATCCGGACATGAGCACAAGGGAGGAGATAGCCGTGTGGACCAACCTTACGGAGGCCCGAGTCAGGGTGAGTATTCCCTTGGGTGTAAACAAAAGCAACTAGTGTGTATAAATTCAAGTAATTTGCGCCAATTTTCCGGTTGTCCCATAAATATCCGATACTTTAACATAATTACGCACGCACTGAAAATTTTACGCACGATTGGAATTTGATTTAAATAATGTACAACATAATTTTAAAATGAAAAACAAATAACCGGAGTCTTGTTTAAATATACTTCTGGTGAAAACTCAATTTAATTAGAGCGTTAGGCTATATGTTTATATTAAGCCAAATGGAATTTGAACCCCTTGTACACAATGAAAAAATAATCAGTTTTAGCACAAGTCACAGTTCTCGGCATATTTTAATCTGGCGCATAATTTTATTTAAAAGAGCCCAAAAATGACTCATCCCCGTTTCCAAATGAAGTGTAATTAAACACTTACAATGTTGTTAGCAGTTGAGGGGCTCGACATTAGTCGGTGACAGATACCAGTCGTGTTCTGCTGTTCGTGTGAAAGAGGTGCAAAGCTTGTATTTTGCGATTGTCGCCCTGTGCTTGTGTGATTAAGGTCAGCGTGTTTATGGAAGCATGCAGAGGAATACACATCCTCTGCGCATTAAGATAATGCAGAGAGACCGCAGTGTGTATTCTGCTCAGATAAACACGGAGTTTTTACAGTTTTAATGAAGTGTTAAAACAGTAGGAGACGGGAGTCATTTTATTTGAACAATTACAAATTAAATTAATTTTATTAACTTGTAAAGCTCACATATTATCACGGAGCCATATAAATATATCATACTGATAACGATACTGTTGCCTAACAATATACTATGTCTAAACCTCTGCATTTCATTTGCTGTAGGTGTGGTTCAAGAATCGGCGAGCCAAGTGGAGGAAGAGGGAAAGAAACCAGCAAGCAGAGCTTTGCAAAAACGGCTTCGGGCCGCAGTTCAATGGACTCATGCAGCCCTACGATGACATGTACCCTAGCTACACATACAACAACTGGGCTGCCAAGGGCCTCACATCTGCCTCTTTATCCACAAAAAGCTTCCCCTTCTTCAACTCCATGAATGTCAACCCCTTATCCTCGCAAACCATGTTCTCACCGCCCAACTCCATATCCTCTATGACTTCCAGCATGGTGCCATCGGCGGTCACCGGCGTACCGGGCTCCAGTCTCAACAGCCTCAATAACTTGAATAACCTCAGTAACCCGTCTCTCAACTCGGGGGTGCCCACGCCGGCGTGTCCCTACGCCCCTCCGACCCCTCCTTATGTGTACAGGGACACTTGTAACTCCAGCCTGGCCAGCCTGAGACTGAAAGCCAAGCAGCACTCGAGTTTTGGATACGCCAGTGTGCAGAATCCGGCCACTAATCTGAGTGCTTGCCAATATGCCGTGGACAGGCCAGTCTAATACCTACCTGCACTGCAAAAAATAATCATCTTAGCAAGATATAAGAGGCTAGTAGGGACGCTTACAGTTACATTTTTCTCTAAAGACAGTGGGCATCTCTGGTGGTGCGATTGTTATAGACTTTTTTGCGTGTATCAAGATTTTGTTTTTTAATTTTTTGGCGAGCTTTGCCAGTTGGAATGTTACTTGCAGTATTCCGACCCTTTTTCTTAATACACTGCCACTTGCTCCGGTAAAAATCTAAAATCTTATAGGAAACATGTGGGATTATCCCATCGCATCACATTCATTTTCTTTCTTTTGAAGGGGCAAATGTGATTTGAGGGTGATTACAATCCCAGATAGCTTGCTATGGTGGTCATTTTTTGCAGTGTGAGGGTAATCACAAACAGCCGGCCACAGGAACAAGAGACTACTACAAGTACTTTTTCATTTTTCAAAAAGGGCACTAGAAGACTGAACCACTGAAACAAGCTCAACTACAGGTCGGAGTCAAACTGAAATGGGACTTCTTAGGTTTGTTCCCCTTTTGATGAGTTCAGGCCTGCTTCACACTGCGCCTCAGCGGAAAAGAAAAAAAGAAATAAACGGAGAAAAAAAAGAAAAGAAAAAAAGGCCTGTTTTATTTTTCATAACTCCTCATAAGGGTTTTCTGGTGGATTTTTGGACGGTACCTATTGACTGAAAAGGTTGTATATATATTTGAATTATCATCTCCTGTTTGTCGAGGCGAATGCGCTATAACCCCACGTCCTCTCCAGGTTCAATTTATCAACGCATGTGGAAAAAAATCTCTAAAAAGGAATCATGTTTTGCTTGCAAACAAAAGGGAATGTACATACTAAAACGCACCAGTTGTGTGTTTCTAACATATTATAAATTTATTATTAATGTCTGTGTGAATATCGATTTAGAATAGCAATTCTGGATTAAAAAAAAAAGTTCAAATCAAAATGTTCCTGCGACAAATTATTTGGTTTTTTGCTCTGTGTATACTATTTGGTACGGAACTATGTTTTTTTCCAGCATTCAAAAACTATTGTGTTTTATTTAATGGAAGTAAATATATTGTTCAAAAAGATCATGCTGGGGGACTTTTATTGAATCTTTGTGCTAGTTGTCTGATAGTGGAGTGTAAAGCAATGACAGTCTGTCTATAGCCTTTCGATTATGTGAGGTACTTGTGCGGTTAATCTATAGAGGAAAACAATGGGCCGCTCCAATACACATAACTCCGAGATGCTCCGTCAGATTAACTGCTGAATACATGTCTGCCTGCCCAGCCAAGAGCTTCGGCTGGTCACTGGTGCTTGAAATAACACGGGAATCCACAAAAAGGCATTGGACCACACAACAATGATAACAGTCCATTAGAGGTTGTTTTTTGCTCCCCGTCTTTGATCTCAGAAGAGACGGTAGTTTTCTGAAGTGGCTTATTAGAAAACTTGAAGTACAGCCCGCGATCTGATTCACGTCATTCTTTAATATGGATTTTACGATATGTTTGAATTTATCACCTAGTAATTTATCAATCAGCAATGTTTAACAAAATCATGTTTAGAGTTACATATTCTAAATCCAGCCTCACATCTTTTTTTCTGCCCCCATAACTAATCCTTTCTAATTGTGCATCCCACCTGATTTATACGTGTATATATTTGCCTTTCTAGTATTTGCTTTTGTAACATTGCGCTTTTTTGAGGTATGCTTTCCGTTGTGCAAACGCGACGAAGCAAAACAAACCGTGATTCGCAAGCTTAAGCAAACAAGAGCACACAGAGATACAGAGGTATGTGGGCCGGTGCTGCCTGGAGGAGGCGGGGGATGTGTGCAACTTCATGGCTGCAACCAGAGCGGAGACACCGGGGAGGAAACACCGCGACACTTCCACACACAACAAGCCAAATAAATTATCCGAGCCCGGGCAGCCTGTATTTATTCCTAGTGTCGCCCATAAAAATTGATAGCAGTATTTAAAAAATCATTATATAAATGGGCCGATATGACACTGTTTCACAATAAAAATTAAACAGTGTGTTAAAAGAACAAAAGAAATGTAGGTTGAAAAAGCGTAATGTCAAGTTGGATGATGACTCAAGTCATCTTTTATGAGAGGGTGTTAACTATTATGAGGAAAAATCAATCACGGTCCAAATTTGGGGTGTTTTTGCAAAAGCGCCAAATAACAAACACGAGATAAGTGTTCTTCTATTTTTACATTTTGAGTTGAAGTGGCCGTCCAGCGGCTTGAACTCCACACCCTCCGCAATTAAATTTTCCTCTCAAAAGCTGCAAGTGTCACCTTTTGATGGAGTTGGTAACGCGGAGCAATAATCAGCTGACAGGGGATAAGCCTAGGCGAATACACAAGTCTGCAGCCTCAATACACAACCACACAATCAACATGTGAACAGAGGGTGACCTGAAGAGAAGAGGCTTGAGTGGGAAATTGTTCATTTGGCTGACACGGCGCTCAGGAGTGCTTCCCTCTTCTCTTCTGTGAGCCTCTGCAAGGTAAGAGCTTATTAAAGTTTAATGAATGCAACATATGTGACTTTAAGCTGCTGTGTCTGCGCTTTTTCTGACGTGTTAGTTTATACATTTTCTGCAAAATTACATTAAAAAGCCCTTTGTTTGCATCGTGACTGAATCTGCTCATATTTAAGTGAAATAAAGATTCTAAATTCAGGGAGTGCATCATTTATGCATCAAAATAAGGCTGTGTAAAGCGGAAAACAATGTTCTGGACATGAATTAATGACACCAGGGAAACACAGAAGCATACATATATGACCTTTATTAACGTGTAGTTCATATTTAATCTAGTAAGCAATTCCTTTTCTCTGTAAAAATAAATAAATAAAAATAAAAAATAGCAAGTTCTTGCTTCTCTTGCCTTGTTTTTAGGACTCCTAAAACACACCGGTACATCTTGATGCGAGATTTGTTCCGCCATCTGATTAAAAAAAATCCAACGTGATGAGACACTGCTAGTCGACAGCTTTCACCTCGTCTCCACTGGGAATTCAAATAAAAAGCGAAGAAGTGCAAATATCCAAACATGTATCGTTACAGCGCCAATCTAAATAATTAACAGGCTCTCAATATTCATGCAGCGACGGGTTTGCAGGAGACATGACACGGTTTGGTAACAGCCTAATGCTGCATGCTATGTCGAAATGTGCAGCATGTTTTTTTTTAATTACACCCTAACGAGGCTTGCTTTTCAACTTTTAAAATATTTTTGGAACTACGGGGCGTTTATGGCATAATATTTCAACTGAAAATGTGTCTGGATTAATGTTCATATCAAGACACTAATTCCTGCTATTTGCAGTAAAAAAAATAATCTGAGATTCCATCCATATTTTTTTTAATGTATATAATTATTAAAACGGAACATTTAGCTCGTTCTGCTCTCCTTACCAATGAATCTATTTTTTTAGTTGCACATTTTAATATATGTTAAGATGAAGCAGGAAATATGTCAGATGGGGGATATGGGTTAAGATAAACATAGAAAATGCTTTCCAATATTTCATTTTTAGGGTTGCAATGGTGCAAGACTTCCAAAGTAAATCACGGCAGTGGTTTAAATGGACAGCAATATTCTTGTTGCTAAAGCCAAATTTGCCCATAAGTTAGGCAGTACAGAGAGTTTTCCTTAGGGAGAAAACTGGCCTTTTGCAATCTGCACATGTTTATGTCTCAGGAAAAAAAAGCAAAATTACACATGCACACCTTTTTTTGTATCCATGCATAGATTCAAACTTGTCCTCACACGTGCACATGTGATGTTGCTGCAACACATCGACATATACAAAAGTCATTCTGTATTCTTCTGGAGCAGGAGGCTACAAGAAAACTGCTCCAGAAGACTTGTAGCATAAAGGCCACGCAGATAATAGATGGTGCCAACACACAACTAGCTTCAGCACTTTGCAGAAGAGAGGGGCTGCTGTGTATCTGGGGGGAGGAGGGTTTTGGCTCTCGACCAATGACGGCCAAGCGGCTTCAGCTAAAGGTCACATAGAGTGACCTCACACATTCTCACCCTCACCTAAGGCTTGAGAAGAAGTTCCCCATAACAAGAAGCATTGCTGCTCAGCTCGACTGCAAAAAAAAACAAAAAAAAAAAACTCATGACAACTTCAAAGTGGAGTTGTGTTTTTTTTGTTTGTCTGTTTGGGTTTTTTTAGCAAGCTTATCCAAAATCAATTGTAGATTTTTGCTTTACATTCACTGCAACATCCATGCATGTTTACATATTGCAAATTGAAAAAAACACATGCATGCTGCCAAAGGCTTTATGTAACAGTGCATATATTTTATTTAAGCCAGAATTCTTAGGAGTAGGTGCACACAGAGCTGAATACTCACAGCGTAATCTGCATGTCTGTTTGGAATATATAAGCATCTTCTGTGTGAATCTACATGTATGTGTACGGGTGCGTAGATAAGTTGTGCATCAGCCTCTCACGGTGGGAGCTTGGTGCAGTTTGAGGGCAGGCGGCTGGCCAGAGCGTGTGAAAGCAGATAACCAGGGCAAATTTCCTGACGCACACACTTCCTGCTCTCTGAAGTTGTGTTAAAGAAGGATGAAAACAAAACACACATCTGAGATGTTTTCTCTCCAAATCAATTTCTACACATTAAACATGCTGGAAAAAGATCAGCAGCAATGGCTCCCATAAAACTCAGAGTAGTGTAGGAAAATGTGATCCATCATCAGAGACTTGTGAATTTATCTGACAGAGTGAGTGCCCGATTTTGGTTTTTAAAAAATCTTTAAGAATGAAGACATGGGTAGTTTGTCTGCAGGTTTTATCATATGGAGAGCTGAGTTTTATGAATAACGTGAAAGTCAGAAGAGCGACTGGCAAGAGTGTCTGAAACTTTTAACTTTTTATCCATTTAGTAATGTTGCTGCTGGAGTTCTGTGATGTGTTTGTGCATGTCCACAGCAGACAAGAAGCATGCCTGCTTAAACGCTTCTGCATACAAATGTAATCGTAATAAGGTTAACTACAGATACACTGTGAAGCTGCGTGAAACAACAGCAGGGCCGTAAATACTGGGCTCATGAAATACTTCTAGAATTATATCATATTATTTGCAAAATTCTCCTTTCAATAAAAATAATAATAGTGACAAAAGAGAAACATCTATCAGATGTGCGAGAAAAAGAGACTAATTTATAAATACACATCCTCCAGGCACACCAGCTACCTGAAGTCTTCCTCATGCCTTTTCATGTTAACCTGACAAGTCTAAAGCTGCTAACATTTTAGCCTGATCTGAAGCGTCATGTTCAGACACCTTCAGTTTACACAGTCTGCCCCAGATGGCATATCTCAGCACTGTTTTCTTTAGGCCTGTCATCTACTGTAACGTCTTAATTGACGTTTACCTCAGTTTGCTGCTGTCAGCCACCCAGAGTCTCTGTCTGAAGAGCAACCTGGCAGAACAGTTTCCCAGGCTCCAACTTCAGATAGAAAATTACACCTGAGAACATTTGTTTGTTTTAGTCTTTCTTTCATTTTGTACAGTACAATCCTCACATGCAGCGTGACTTAAGAAATAGTGTGGAAATTGTGAGGAGAGGTTTTCTACTCTTATTCTCTCTTATCCAGTACTTTGTGTTTTATGTCCCAAATCTTTATTGTATAGAAATCAAAAGACTGGTTAATAACAGTTCATTCTGGTATTCAAATGCGTCTGATGAAAACTTTTCCACAAGATATCAAATGCATGCATTAAGACTTGTGGGTGGAAAAATCCCAACCACCCCACCTGGGTAAGGTTAAATATTCCAGTTAGGACATAAAGAACAATATACAGAATTATATGGAAATTTATATGCACAACAATACAAGAGCGCTCTGGTGGAAATAAAAGCCAGAATTCCTGCAGTTTTAATGTCACACTCCACAGGCTGATTTGACTTTC